AGAGAGAGAGAGAGAGAGAGAGAGAGAGAGAGAGAGAGAGAGAGAGAGAGAGAGAGAGAGAGATTCTTCTTCCTCCTCTCATCTTCTTCTTGGTTGCAGAGGTTGGTCAGAGACTTTGCGACTATAAGGAATTGGGAGAGACCATTATCAGTTCGACTATTTTGTTCTTCAAATTTCTCTCTCCCTCCTCCTTCACATTTGTTCCCTTCTCTCCGTTAACCATCCATGGCTATTTCCCCATGTCTCCATGATTTGCCAGGAGGGACTTCGTCTATGTGTGCCTCACGTCCATGCTCACCATTTCGAGTGATCGTGTGGAGTATATTGTAAGTGTACAAGTCACATGAGTCAGGTTTATTGTTTTCCCCACCCGTGCTGCATTGCATTTGTGTGTTTTTCTTCATGTCGGTGATTCCCCGGTTCTGCGCGTTGCCTACACTCTAAACCCTAAACCCTAAACTCTAAGCCCTGATCTGCGAATAGGAATGCATCAGCAATGGACATGACTGCAAAGGTGTACGCCACGCCGTAGATTTCTTCGTTTTCTTTTTCTTGAAAACTAGGTACCCTCCTGTTAGTGGGGGTGATCTGCGCATCCCCCACTAGCAGGTGCAGCCCGGTTGCCCCGATCTATTGGTGGGCGGCTGCCATTTTCCGTAGATTCTACCCGCTCCAAAGTTAGTAAACCACCAGTACCTTTGTCGGTTCGAAAATACTCGGCCTCTGACCTTTCAGGAGGCCGAAACGAAACGACGGGCGCCGATCAGATTGATCAACGTCGGGCTCTGCCTCCTGAAAGTTCGGGGACTGGCCAGGACTTGTCGAAACCGGATGCCAAAGGTACTGGTGGTGTCAGGATTTGGAACAATTCTTTCAGCTCATCCATTCAAATTGGAGCCCATTAACATTGGAGCCCATCAAAACTGGAGCCCATTAACATTGGAGCCCATCAAAATTGGGGCCCATTAAAGTTGGAGGCCATTGGCCTCTGCGCAATCAAGTTCAGCTTCAGCAAACAATCGACAACAAAACATGCAGAACACTCGAAGAATTTACTAAAATCGAAAGAATTCATTGACTGCAGCAGCCAATGAGCATCACCAGCCATCACAATCAAAAGAACGAGGGCTTGTGTGTGGGTCTACAACGACAAATGGTTGCCGGAGGAACGTATCTCAAAGAAGTTGGTGACAGAGTGGTTTGAACTCTGGATGTTTTTAACAGTTGGGGATTGATCCTGATTCCGGACCAGGATTAAACGCTGGTTCAAACTCAGGATTTCCTTCATACCTTATCTAATATGCGCTTCTTACACTGCAAGTGTACTCTGTGTTCAATATGCCTCGATGTTGATCTCATTCATGCCACCCAAGATTAAACGCTGAGCAAGGATACACCCTTCCCTTTTCCTTTTCCTTTTCCTTTTCCTTTTCCTTTTTTTTTCCCCTCTCCCCTCAATTCTTTTTTTCTTCTTCTCTTTAGATGCAAGGATAATATAGAGGATAACATAGCTTTCTTTCAAAAAAAAAAGAAAGAAAAAGGCCGACAGCCTTGCGATATCTTCTTTCTGAATCCACCAGCCTCCACGTAATTTCAAAGTTGCTTGCACTCATCTGATTCTATTGGACTTCGAACTGAGGTCTGTGTTCCACTGTTCAAACCAGTGCTGGTCCTCGGATGGACCGGGGGACCTTCGACCGACCGGGAGCCTATCGGTCCAACCGGGTGGTTCACTGGCCCGGCAAGCCCCCAATTCGATTTGGCGCACTCTTTTTGGGGGGCGGTATGGGGAATTTCCGGGCGTCCCCATCCCCGCCCAGCCTCTGGGAGGCCACCGCCACAAGTGAAAAAAAAAAACGGGCCTTACCAGACCCCGTTTTCTCTTGAGAACGTGCGTCCAATCTCCGCCGCCGATTGGCGCATATCGACGGTGGAGATCGGCCGCGCATTTCCGAAAGAAAACAGGGTCAGGTAGGCCCCCATTTTCAAATTTGAAAACGCAGTCGATGTCGACCGCAGATCTGCGGATCTGAGGATCTGAGGATCTGCGGCCGAAATCGGCCGCGTTTTGAAACGTGAATCGCGGTGTGGTTTTGTGCTGCCTCCGCCCCTCCGCCCCGCCTGTCCCATGCTACAGCAACATCACACAACATTGACGTCGTGCCACTCAGCATGCACGTCAACGTCGTGTGCTGCCACCACGCGACCATTGCCAGCGCCCCGTCTCCAGCCCGCCATTGACGTCTCTGTGCGGCTGCTTCGCCCCGCCAGCCCGCTTTGTCGCAACAGCCCCCCATAGCCGTGAAGGTAAGTCCAGCAGCGCCCATCCGCCTCCTCCTCGTCTTTTTCTTCTTCTTCTTCTTCTTCTTCTTCTTCTCCTCCTCCTCCTCCTCGTCCTCCTCCTCTTCTTCTTCTTCTCCTCCTCCTCCTCCTCCTCCTTCCTCTTCTTCTTCTTCTTCTTCTCTTCCTCCTCCTTGTCCTTGTCCTCATCATCTTGTTCCCTCCTCCTCGTCCTCTTCTTCTTCATCTTTTTCCATCCCCCTCATCCTCTTCCTCTTCTTCTCCTCCTCCTCCTCCTCCTCTTCTTCTTCTTCTTCTTCTTCTTCTTCCTCTTCCTCTTCTTCTCTACCTCCTCCTCATCCTCATCATCTGTTTCCCTCCTCCTCCTCTTCGTCTTGTTCTTCTCCTCGTCCTCTTCTTCTTCATCTTTTTCCCTCCTCCTCCTCAGCATCCTCTTCTCCTTCTTCTTCTCCTCCTCCTCCTCCTCCACTTCTTCTTCTTCTTCTTCTTCTTCTTCTTCTTCTTCTTCTTCTTCTTCTTTTCCTCCTCCTCCTCCTCCTCCTACCTCCCCGTTGATCCCGAGCCATAGTGGTACCAATTTTTTTTTTCGTTTTTTCATCTCGAATTCTTCTTCTTCTTTTTCTACTTCTTCTCCACCTCCTCCTCATCCTCATCCTCTTCTTCTTCTTCTTCTTCTTCTTCTTCTTCTTCTTCTCCTCCTCCTCCTCCTCCTTGTCCTCTTCTTCTTCTTCTTCTTCTTCTTCTTCTTCTTCTTCTTCTTCTTCTTCTTCTTCTTCTTCTTCTCCTCCTCCTCCTCTTCCTCCTCCTCCCCCTCCTCGCCCTCTTCTTCTTCTTCTTCTCCTTCTTCTTCTTCTTCTTCTTCTTCTTCTTCTTCTCCTCCTACCTTCCCGTTGAGCCCGAGCCATAGCGGTAGCGATTTTTTTTTTCTTTTTTTCATCTCGGATGCTTCTTCTTCTTTTTCTACTTCTTCTTCTCCTCCTCCTCCTCATCCTCTTCTTCTTCTTCTTCTCCTCCTCCTTATACCTCCCCGTTGAGCCCGAGCCATAGCGGTAGTGATTTTGTTTTTTCCATCTCAGATTCTTCTTCTTCTTCTTCTTCTTCTTCTTCTTCTTCTTCTTTCTTCTTCTCCTCCTCCTCCTCCTCTTCTTCTTCTCCTCCTCCTCCTCCTCCTCCTACTCCTCCTCTGCTTCCCTCCCCCTTGAGCCAGAGCCACAGACATAGCAAGCGCAGTCGGATGCCGCCATAGAAACCTATCCCCCCCCCACTACCCCCACCCCCACCCCAACCCCACCCGGCCCCCAAGAAATTCCTGACTTTGCAAGTTTTATTGCGGAATACGACAGATCTCAGCGAGCGCAGTCGGATGCGGCAATCAGAAAAAAAAATTAAAAATAAATGGGAATTTTTTTGGGGCATCCGGTTTTGCCGGACCAATGCCGGTTCACCCCCCCTGGACCGGGGCAGGTGATCCGGCTGGTTGCTGGCCCAGCCCTGGTTCAAACTCCATACTAAGTTCATAGGTCTACCAGGTGAGCTATAGCCTATAGCCTATAGGCCATTTGGTTTAGGGTTTGATGCATCCTTTTTTTTTTTTTTTTTTTTTCCAAGGATGGGTACTCGGGTACGGTTCAGCTGAGAAGACTATGCGGACTACTGGCTCCTGCGAACAATAGGCAGAACAGGACGACCTGGAAAAGTCTTTTTTTTTTTTTTTTTTTTTTTTTTTTTTTTTTACCACCGGGAGGGAGGCTCCATCTATTGGTGGGGAGCATCACCTGCTGGAAAGTGAGTCCGATTCGTCGTCTTCCTTGAGCCTGACGAAGATGAGAGGATAGCAGAACCACTCTCATGGAAACTGGTAGACCAAAAACGATTCTCACACGCTACGGGAGGCACGTACACGACCGGAAGCGTGAACGCTGAATGTAGAACGATGGAACACTGCCGTGTATTTGTGAGCATCGGTACACAGTAGCTGTGCACTACCGGTCGTATGTGCAAGGAGCCTTCAATCAGGGAGCAAAACAATTCCAGCTGGGTCAGTCACAGCTGCCGCCTCCTTGTCTGTCCCTTTCTTCTTTTTTTTCTTTTTTCTTTTTTGCATGGTGATCAGTATAGCTGCAGCGATGGAGATGTTTCCGATTTACAATCAACCGTGCATTCTTAATTTCCTTTTTTTTTTTATAGTTATTTTTTAAGGATGCGTAGGTTGGAGACTGTCCTTTATCGCACTGCCACAAAGAGGAGCCTCGCCCGGAGGGCTGGCGCGCAGCCAAACCTTCCTTCGGAGCGCGTCAATTGTGTATTACAGATTTGCAATGGTGTATTTTTTATTCCCAGTTCTTCCCAATACACACCATTTATATCACAATGCTGTGAAGATGGTATACTCAAATTGTATTGTTTCATCGGGTGATTTTTTTTCAAAAAAAAAAAAGGGCGATGGCCTTGAGATATCATCATAGAACTGACCGCCTGGGCAAGTGGGCCCGCCCACTCTGGCAATGAAGCTGCTAACAGAATCATCATGATAAAAAGTGCATGTTCATCTCTCCATCCCCTGGAGCAGGTGCAAGCTCCACTCGTTTTTCTATTTTTTTTAGAAACAAGTCTGGCAGTGTCACAGTTTCAGTTTCGAAAGGGAAAAAAAGCGTGCGGGCAACAAGATCGGTTGCCGAGTTCAAAAAGGGCGATATCGGTAGAAATGGCTGTCACAGTGGCCTGCATATGATTTTGTTGCCCTCTTTAAACTCGGCGCACCAAGTTTGTTGTTGCCCTTTTCTTTTCTTTTTTTTTTTTTTTTTTCTTTTTTTTGAGAAAACAACCCGAGTGAATGCTAGGGGTGCTGATAAGAGCAGACACCACTAGCATGCTCGGGGAGGCTCCATCTATTGGTGGGGAGCGGCACCTGCTGGAAATCGGGTCCAGCGTCCCTCAACATTTATAGCCAGGTGTTCTGAAAACACCCGAATTCATGTCAACACGCCACGTGTCCATCCCACAGAATGCATGCGTGATCAACAGAAGCAACACGCGGGAGCAGCATTGATTGCCCTCAACCAAGGGGATTAACTGCTCATCGCGGTTAAAATGGAATTCATGTTCCGAAACCCTCATCATCCACTAACAAGACCTTCACAGCACCGTGAGGGGGAGAGGCAATCAGAATAGAGAGTTAGGTCAACTATTATGGCTAATTCCAAAATCATCACCAATTATAGGTAATCCCCAAATCGCCATATCCCCGCTCGATCCTCATAACCAGCGATTGAGCCAAGCGCTCTTACCGCGTCACAAGGAGGAGGGGCACTCAAATTAGGGAACAAGGTTGTATCAGATTACCTACACCAACCTCCCCCCACGATCCGCACGATCCATGAGTCCACACAAGGTGGGGGGCCTTGATGCTAATTAGGGTGCTGTCTTCACTATCCCACCCCTTCGCGCCACCATCCCACGCCCCGCATCCCCGCACCGTCTTCCTGTTCATCAAACATTCCAATCACCCAACCCTCTCGCCCCTGGCCCCAATCGCTCTTCAAAGAAGACAGGAGGGGAAACGGGATGGCAGGGGGAGAAAGGGGGTAGAGAAACAGGCGAGTCACACTTACTTTTCCACGAGTATCGTCACCAATTTTTTTGCTGATGTAGGTTTTGTTGTTGCGTACTATGTTGTTGTTGTTGTTGTTGTTGTTTTTAGTGTCAAGATCATCATCGTTCCCAGGCACGCACAGACTGGAGATCGCTCCTCCCATCCCTCTATCGCGCACCGTGTGGTTGTTGTTGTTGATGTTTGCGGCCTGTGCCACAGACACTGTCAATGTGTTATTGCTGTTGTTGTTGTTTTTGCAGGCCTCGGCGACGCAGATGAGCTGATTACTGTCGTCATGGTTGCCGGTATCGACCGCGTCGTCAATGGTGATGCTGCTGTCACGAGTGCCGTTCGCGATATCGTCGTCGTCGTCGTCGTAGAGTCTATCCTCCAAGTCGCCACAAAGACCTTGCCCCTCCTCAAGGTCATTATAGCAGCGCCGCATGAACGCATTCGATCGTGGCCGATCCGCGAATTCCAGGTGGGGGGGCGGCCCCTCTTCAAACCCCCATCCAATCTCCATTAAAGATTGCTGAGCACTTCAAATCCACAAGATCGAGCCGTTCGCAACTTCGTCAGGATCTGACTTAAGCGCGCACCAGTCGCTTGAGCAGTGCAGAGCCATTCGGTGTCTCCTGTCCACATGTCACTCAAGCACGCCATCTCCGTCCGGCCCTCAACTCTCGCCCCTGTCGATGCTGCAGGCTCGGTAATGAGCGCCCCGATATCGCTCCTCATAGTTAAAGCCATGCCGCGTGTAAGCCCTTGCCACGTCACACATCGCATCTCGTACTCCTAGTAACACCCCTTCCCCACCACAAACACCCCTCTCAAACGGGCACTACGTTGCACGCCACGTGGCATGCACACGATCCGGCGTGAAAGCCACGTCAGTGTTGCTGATGCGTCGCACAGAGAGCAGGCTGGGCCTTGCCAGCCGGTCCCCTGCGGAGTACCAGGGCGCTAGTGATGCGCAGCGCCGGCTCACCCCAGAAAACATATTCAACGTTTGCCCCTCTCGCACATGTCAACGAATTTGATTACAACATTTAAACATACGGCTCTTCCGATTAGGGCTGGAAGAGCCTCAGCCACTGCTCCCCTCGGCAGGTTATGCCTCTCAAAGATGGTGGCCATGCATTAATGAATGGCATTCTTCTGTTGTGCCCTTTTCAAACTCGGCGCACAGGTAAAAATACTAAAAATGTTTTTGTTGCTCTTTTGAACTCGGCACGCGAGAGTTTGTGCCTGCATGTGGTTTTGTTGCCCTTTTCAAACTCGTTTGTGCCACAAGTTCCACAGCCGAAATTACCGCTTTTTCTTTAATAACAGGCTATGTTCCCTTGGTGGGGAGCTGCAGCCCGAGTCCCCTTATGCATCTCCGGAACATGCAGGTGCTCTCCCCCATTATGGCTGAGAGGTCTTTGTTTGAGGGCCCACAAAGTGTCCCAGTTTTTCATGAGGGCCCACAAAGTGTCCCAGTTTTTCACGAGGGCCCACAAAGTGTCCCTGTTTTTCATGAGGGCCCACAAAGTGTCCCAGTTTTCATGAGCGCCCACAAAGTGTCCCAGTTTTTCATGAGCGCCCACAAATTGTCCCAGTTTTTCATGAGGGCGCACAAAGTGTCCCGGTTTTTCTACGAGGACAATTAACCAAAGAGAACAGTCAACCACATTAACCCCCGACTCCTTTAAAAAAAAAAAAACAAAAAAAACTGCATATAGAAGAGCCGCCTGAAGAAACTTTAAAGTTTAAACCACCAGTACTTGGCCCAGCTATCAATTGTTATGGTACTAAGGATTGTCGTAGGGTGCTGTTGATTGATGATTCAAAGCTGTCGATTTCGACTCCCAGCTATCAGCCACGGGAAAAAATAGAGAAGCAGCATTTCTCGTCGGATGCATTTGACCGCTCCTGCAGTGGCCCACACTTTTCCTAAAGTGGCGACTTGTTTATGGGCACTACTTCAGGAAGTACTGGTGGTTTACGAACCTCAAAGTCGGGCCTTTGTTCAAGGAAAAAAAGAAAAAAAAAGAGGGAGAACCTGAGGTCGGGGAAAGTTATACTGTCCACCTCTACTGTTATTATGCTCCTCTCTTCAACAAATTGCAAACCTGCACCTGTGTTGAACCACGTACGCGTATGGCCTGAAAAACCCGGGTCCGCGCACCTTTTTTTTTTTTTTTCCGCCCGGGCACCCAACTTGTGCCCGGATACACGCCCGGGTGCTCGGCCGGGCATGACCCCCGGGCAGGGTTCCGGTCAGCTCCTGCGCAAAAAAAAAAAAAAAAATAGAAACTCAAAAAATTCCAGAAAAAAAAAAATGTTGTGTAGAATTGCAATACAAACAACTTTTGGCAGAGGGTCACATCAGAATTCCTCACCGAATCGGAGTTAAAAAAGAAAATAACAAAATCACACTAAAGGACCCCCCTTTAACCCCTCTTTAAACAATTTATAACCCCCTTTCTGCCCCTTGACAGCCAACTCTCAAAAAATGAAATGAGCCCGTCCTCTGGGAAAGCACAGAAAGGCAAAAAAAAAAAAAAAAATTTTTTTTTTTTTTTTTTTTTTTTTTTTTTGCACGCCTGGGCGCCCAGCCGGGCATGAAAAACTTCCTAGCATATATGTACATGGTGTTTGGCACTGTTTGCATTGTCTAGTCTCGCACAGCAGGGCACAGTGCAACACCGTGGTGTTCAGCAGTACATCACGGTGGCATCAGAACACGACTGTTTGTGTGGGTGGGTGTGGGTGTGTGCATGTGTGTGTGCATGTGTGTGTGTGTGTGTGTGTGTGGGTGACTGTTGTGTTGACGAAGATGACGGCGACGGCGATGGCAATGATGGTGCCCGTGGTGTCGATGACGACGACGGCGACGACGACTGCAACGATGGTGACCGCGGGTTCGACAGCGATGATGGCGATGACGGTGACTGCGGGGTCGACGGCAACGAGGGTGACGACTCCAGTGGCGAGCTGAGGTGGGGGGATGGTGGAGTCGGGGTGGGCGGGAAACAGGGGACCATTCGAAATCGAACGAGTGCTGATTTCCCACCCCCGCCCTGCCTCC